ATGACACTTCCAATTTTCCCAAGGCTCTTAGCCCCCCACAGGTGCAAGGGGATTTGTGGCAGTTTAATCCGTAAAGGAAGGGTACACAGACTATCGCACTTGAAATTAAATTTTAGGCACCACTCCTTGAGGACAATTGGGGCATTGTGAATGGTGTATGGACCCATCATCAACACCATGTCACAATCCTAGAAAGAGTGAAATCTAAGCAAGAAATATCCTTCTTCATGGTAATACATATTTGGAAGCTTAACAAAGTTCTAAGTTCTCGCCATATACTGCTTAACGACATTCATGCTCAAATCCTTACCAATATTATACATGATTAATGCAGATTCCCATTATGCCGATTCAGATGCTACATCCTCTTCTTCAATTTCCACAATACATTCTCCATCCACCAATTTAGGTGCAATGTACTCAATCGTTAGACCATTTTCAAGAATGCGATTTCCACTGATAACATCCATTCAAAGTTTAGTTTCTGCTTCCCCGTTCTTCCTTTGCGGAGCTGATAGTGACACATCAGTTTCCTTCTCCTTATGCTCATTTTCCTTTTCTATTTCCTTGGCCGTTCCCTTTTTTGTAGTATTATATTCCATGTTCCCTTCTGGTCTCTTAGGTGTATTCGACGGTGAGGACGACTTCTTCTTTGGCGACCTTCCTCTCCCCTACCAGAACCCTAATCTGAGCCAGCCCCTAGCCCTAGAGCTAGGAGTTTAAACCGAACTCAAATCAAAGACACCTAAGAAATGAAATGTTAGAAACCTGAATCATACAAAATAAAGCTCACCCGTTGAATCAGAATACTTTTCTTCTTCGCCAAAAATCACCAGTGGTCACCGAAAATCGCCAGAGTTTTTTCCATTTTCCATATATAATAATATTAAATAAAGTTCAGAAACTAAACATATGAACAAGAAAATAAATGCATTTTTAGAGAAGAGAGAACTCGTCGGGATTGAATTTCATCTACCCGCCAAATACTTAAACTTATTGATCAACTGTACTCAATCTAAAACACTCGTCAATATCATCATGTATCACCCACAACAGAGGTTATGTCTAACACAGAGTTGAGAGAATAATCATATTATCTCGGAGGTGATGTCTCACGCAACTCAATAACACAGAGGCATTATACAACAATACTTATAGTGATTATTAGGTCTAGATCTATCTCTATAGTCTAGAACCTAATAGATATTCATCCTAAATTCAGATTTGAACCGTATATGCCTATAGCAACTCAAATCCAACATAAAGCAAGCAATCGTCTATATTGATTTCGAAAATAGATAGTATACAACACCATGATCAACAAATATACATACAATCAAGAAAAATTTACATACAAATCCCAACAAATAGAGAATACAAAGAGGAGAAGATAAGAGAACCAAACATCTCTTGTAGTGTCCATCACGATTGATGAGAAATCTGACTTCCAATCATTAATATGCAAGCTCCATTGTTGCTTTCTAAGTTTTATCAAAGAATTTTGTTGATGGAGTTGGAAGAAAAAAATACTCAAACCATATCCTAAAAAATGATGTAAAAGTGAATTTATAAAGTTTCTAAGTCGTAGAACGCACTAAGCCTGCTTAGAGGACGCTTAGCGTGCAACCCGCTGTTACAAAAAAAATAGCTCTTTTTTCGCCATAACTTGAGAACCATAACTCTGATTTACGCATGGTCAAAAGTGTTGGAAAGCTTATTCAATGCTCTATATTACAATGACTAAATACCATTGTTTAAATACCTACAAAAATGAGATAAAAACAATTAATTAATACAATATTTACATGAACTGACAAAATTATACTAAAATACTAAACGGATACTTTATTCACACTAAAGTAGAGGTTATTTCTAGAAAAACTAATGAATCAAGCCAATAAGTGTCAATTATTTCACTCAAAACACCATAATTTGACACTTATCAGCTTTTGACCATTGAAATACACAAATACAAGGTGGGGATATATATTCATTTTCTGATATTGAGAGTTTTGTAAAGAAAAATGGGATGAAAGACACCCTATTTATACAAGATTTGGATCACTTTGGATCTTAGAAACTTTATCATGTCATCAGAGCATTTTTTCGAGATACATTTCTAGATAAACCCTGTTATTTTAAGAAAAATGGATTTATTCGGATATGCACATCCAAAAAGTTCTCTGATGTTTTTTAATTAAAATGGGGTTTATCCAGATATGCATATCTGAAATCAACCCAGAACCAAAAACAAATAAGAAACATAGAATACATAAACAGAAGTTATAAACCATAAAATGTGTAAGCAAAAACAGTTGACATTTATGCCATAATTACTAAATATATATTACTTATGTATTAAATCATATCAAGATCACATCGTTGACGATAATACATTCAAAAAAGTGTATCGATTACAATCTAAAATACATCAAAAGATGCATCACCACATAAATCTATGACTAGTTCCTCCTTCGACTTTTTCTTATTTGATTATCTTTCAAGCCGTTCAATTTGGTAAAAAATTTCATCCTTCCCTGAAATTGATCCAGCAAAGTTTTTGCCTCTTTTTTAGAATGTGTCGTTCACTCCAATGATACACTTGGTATAGAACACCCAGATTTCAAATAAACCTCAACAAAATGTAGCAATTTTGAAAGCCGCCCTATATACATGATGCATCCGGAAGGATCGTTAGGTAGGTCACTCTGAAGTATAAAAAAATATCTCTGAGTAACCATATCTTGTCAGGTCGATACATACCCTGTCATATGCACTTGTTATAAGATGGTCAATTTCAGGGAAGAGCATCCATTTTGAAAACAGCGCGAGACCGCTAACACAAGGAGTAAGAGCATCTTGAATTGCATCAAAATGTTATTTTTTCCGTATAACGTTGTGTAGAATTCCATGCATCCATTATCTTTTCCAACACCACACCATATTTGACCATTTTTCCGTCTTCACCCTTGACTTGTTTGGTACTCGGCTAGCTCGGTTTGCAATGTATGATTATGTAAATCATAAATCATATTAAATTTTCATGTATCACCTGCCTTACGGTATCTGCGCAATTTAAACGGACTCACATTTTCTTGATCTGGTGTAATCACGTTTCAACTTTTAAATCGGTGGAACATACGTGTCACTTCTCTCACATCTCGTGATTACAAATGTTTGCCTTTGGCTAGAACCATTGTGGACCTTCCGATTACAATGCCAAACTCCAATTTCCTGGCCACCATGCAGACTCATTCCAACATATGTTCACGAGTAGTAAATAGTTGTTCATTTGTAAACAGTTGACTAATATCTATCTTGACTTCAACCGGTCTAACATCGTCTTTCACCTCATCTGATTTAACACCGTCCTTCACTTCATCAGGTTTTGCATCATTACTTACAACAACTTTGGGAAACATATCCAGGAGCACCATATCTAATTCGAACCGAAACAGAAAAACGGTTAAAAAATTACAAGAACAAACAAATTTGAAGATACATCTCCGAAACATATAGCATGTTAATTCGGAGATGCATCTCTGGAGTTAACGTACATTTTTTCAACTCAAGAACAAGATCAATGGAAACAATGAGGGATAACATGTGTGAGCTTTACCTTAAATTGCAGTTTCTTTTGCTCTTTTTGATGTGATAAAACACAAGAATGATTATTTGAAGTCGAAAAGTTGATTGAGAATGAAAGTTTTTTTAAGGGTTTTGGGTTATGGAGGATGATTAAGATATGAGAGAGATGATCATGAAAGATGGTGATATATTTAATTTTTCGCTTGACATTTTCGGAGATGCATCTCTGAAAATTTTCACTAAAAGATTAAATGATAATTATCATTGAAAAACACTTGAAAAATGAGTTCAAGTGTGTTTTCGAAGATGGATCTCCGAATACACTCTAGAAATATTCATAGATGTATTTCCGAATCAAATTTTAACAAAAATAATTCATGATGTGTTCAGAGATGCATCTTCAAAAAATTATGAAAGCATTTTTGAGTTTTTAAGGTGTGATTCACACCATAAAGATGAAAAAAGAAATTGTCAAATAATATATATATATATATATATATATATATATATATATATATATATATATATATATATATATATATATATATATATATATATATATATACTTTTTTTTCTTTGGAAACTGATGAAAATATGAAGAAGAAAAAAGCATGGCTATATTTAGAATAGTGACATTAAATGTCATAATTAGAGAAGACTTTTGCTTATATTTAAAATTATTGAAAAGAAAAATGTGTTGCCAAACAACTTATGGTGGTTTTCGCCAAACAAGAGATTGAAAAATAGCTGTTGGCACAAAATTGTATCACACAAATTGTGAAAGAACACGCCAGAATACATCTTCCTAGCTAAGAACAACAATATCTAAAAATATGTGGATCACAAGTCCCAAATCCTTCTAAAAATCAGGATTTAAACTACCAAAACTTGGAGACTTGTAAGGATGCATTTGAAATAGATCACTTTTAAATTCTTCAATCATGAAAGACACCAATAGCAGTTCATTATCACACTCATCAAGAGAATGACAAATATTAGCCATAATATCCACAGGTGAGGAAAACTTCATATTTCCAGCATGCATTCAACCTCGCTAGTGCAGTGATTGTGATGTCAACGAGAGTGAGTTCAAATTAAAAAAATTGAGATCTTTTTATGGCCATTACCTTTGCATCTAATGAGTATGTACAAGCATATAATGTGATAAATAGCAGTTGCATGAGACACCAAATGGATGAGAATCTTGTTTCAATATCCAAACAATTGCTTGCTTTAATTGTAATCAATAAAAGTAAAACATTAGGAATCAGAGAACTAACACTTACTCCAAATTGCAATTACAGGGATATCCTAGAATGTTGTCAAATCCTAATCCTATCCTGTCAGTTGAGCAATAGATTCATAAATTTATCAAACAATTCTAGTAACAATGTTTATTAGACTGGGACTTCCTATTTACGAGTTTTCTTTACTGAATGACCAGTTTTTCGCTTATGGCGGCTGAAATCAGAAACAAACCTGAACGTTTGTTCACACCCCGGCTCAGCACACACATATGGACGAGCACCGGTGTGGACTCGAATATGTTCAGTACGAGCCCATGACCACTTGAAAGCCATCTTGCATCCCTTCCAAGGACACTTTAGTGGGCGATCATCCTCATGAACTCGACGGTGATGCACCAGATATTTGTGTGAGAAAAACTTCTTTCCACACCCTTTCACGGGACATATATTTTTCTTATGATGCATCAGCTCCTGTTTAGAATAAAAACTCATGGTGCACGCTTCAATGTCACACTGGTATTCTCCTTCCTCATCCTTCTCTATGACACGGCCAGCTGAAACCTTTGCAGTTATTGCATTCTTCACTTTTTTCTTTTTGGTTTCTTTTTCTTTTGTTTTCCCCTCGGATTCATTCTGAATTTTTTGGACTCTTTTCCTAATGCGCATGCTGGGAGGTCTTCTAGCTTCATTGTCTTCAATTTGTGAAGTTTCATCTTTGGAGTTAACTGATTGATCGTTCCACACAAGAGGCTGTTGCTTCATTTTCCGAGGAGCCTTTGATTTTGTTAGCAAATGAGCACCACGTTTCACAGGCCGAGATGGCTTGCTTCTCACACAGGGCGAATTAGCTTGTTTCATTTGATGAAGAGTTTGTGATTTAGTTTGCTTACGTCGAAGAGGTCTCTTGTGTTGCTGATGACAATCATCCTCCATCTGACCATCTGAGTTTAGATCGTTTTCATCTGTGAATTTAGCTAGCTTCCTTTTAGGAGTTTTATGCAGCACATGAGAATCACTTTCAGCCGAGTCATCCATATTTTTTTCATCATTATATTTATTTTTCTTGCTCATTCGCTTACTTCTCCGGGGCATCTGAAAGTGACACTCCAACTGGTCATCACATGTTACATCTTCCCCGACGATGGGTTTGGCTTGTTTGTCTTTTGGAATCCTTCTTTGATACTTGCGAGAATGGCATTCAGGTTCGTCATCAGATATAATATCCTCTTCAACAGGGTAATTGGCCTGCCAGCTTTTAGGACTCCTCTTCTGTTGCTTGAGCATGCAGTGCTCCAGTTGATCGTCAGATATCACTGCTTCTTCTTCAGAAAGATAATTGTTTTGCCTGCTTTTAGATATCCTGCGTTTTTGCTTCTGAATATAAACCTCTGTTTGGTCATCAGAAATCACATCTTCAGCAGTGTATTGGTCATACTTGCTTTTAGGAGTCTTCCTATGCCACTGACGAGAACCAACACCCAATGAATCCTCTGATTTAGCATATTGCGTGTCACTATGCTCTTCCTTCAGTGGCAAATCAGAATCATAGTCCATTGTATCATCTGAAACCATATCACTGTCAATAGATTTAGCTTTCTTCGAAATAGCATTCCTCCAAGGTTGTACGCGAGTATTACCATCTAGCGAATCATCTGAAACTGCATCACTTTCCACGCATTTTGTATGCTTGCTTTTAAGCATGTTATGGTGCTGCAAAGGAGAATAATCCCCTTCTGAAGCAGTGTCATGTCCCTCAATATGCCTGGTTCGCTTACTTGCACAAATCCTCCTTTGAGATTGATTGCATTTATCTTCAATTGAATGATCAGAAAGCCAATCCTCCTCAGAAAAACTTCCTTCCCACTCTCCTTCACTCTCTACGGCCACTTTCCTTTTCCTACCAGATTTCCTATTTGTAGTATTACTTTTCTGTGTATGTTCTGATCTCTCACTTTTCTCGTCGAGTAATGGCAACATTTGCACGCTTTTCTCATTCTCAACATCTCCAAGCTCTCTTTTTGCTAAAAGGGGATGGACTTGATTAGACATCCAAACTTTTCCGCACCACTTTCCAGCAACTACCTTTTTCTGCCTATTTGTCCTTCTCTGACAGACACTGGGCTCAACGGGCGAGCTTACTGGAGAGCTACAACCAAATGCATAATACAGAACAGAATTGTAAGGCATCTGCTTACTGTAAAGTGGAGACCGGCTAAGATTGGCACTATAAAAGAGATTGATTCCCAACTTTACAGCCCAATCACTATTGCCAGAAACAGTCTCCTCACTATCCAGAGCTGATTGAATTCTCTCCTCGTCTTCCCCGCTGGCATGCCTGTATATGGTATTCTTCCACTTATAACCAATCCCGGTTTCTTCTGCCATAAACTTCGCTTCAGCCTCTATCTTCGGATAATCTGTAGAAATCAGTATAAATCAAGAATTATTAGGAAGGAGAGGAATACCAGTTACAATAAAGTATAAACGGTAGTAACCACAATCCTCTACGAATGCAAAACATGCTGACAAGGTCAAAAGTTAATTTGTAGCAATTAGGCGATAAATACCAATTACTATGAATGCATGACAAAATTATATATAAATGTTGCTTCAAATCATAAATAAACATCATTGATATGTTGACATGTGCATGGATTTTAGTATTTCTAATAATATCTAAAAACTTGTACACTAAATTTGTTCACTTACGGTTTGAAATATGAGAACAAGTCAAGTTTGAGCTCCCTGCATTGTTCATATAGATTTATGAACATCAAACACAAAACTAACACTTCATATAAGTTTAAGCCTTTAAGGAAAATGGACCAATCAAGCACTTAACCTTTCATAATAGTATATATGAATATGAACAACCTTTTCAACAGGGAAAAACAAAACTCACTTTTATTTTTTTTGCCTCTCAGCCTAAACTGAGACATAACCTAACATCACAAGACTCTCATGCTCATTGAACGAAGTTCCCTTGAAGAAGTGTTCTCAAGGGGAGAAGGGAAGAATTTTTTCACACAAAAATTGCCATGAAAGAAACATTACAATGCAAAATGTGTTCATTCAATGATACAATAACTTAAGTGGAAATCGTAAAATAATGAATTGCCAGACCTGGATGACATAGGAGCAATATATGCGCTCCTCCAATTGGGCGAAGTTGCTGCTCTGCTTCTGCAGCATGCTCTAGACAGAAGACATGCATCCTAGACGCATCTTCATTAGTTGGTGGCACCAATGATAGATTTTTATTGTCAACGGGATTCACAGTCTTGCCCAACAAAGGCATTTCAGTAAGAGTATCTTCGGAACAATTCAAGGTAGAATGATCAAAAGGACTCATAATGCGCTCAACTTTCTTATGCATATAACTCTCATAATTATTAATATTTACAGGGCTAGCATGGCAATCTTGAAATTGAGAAGGCAAACAAGGCCTCTCCTGGGATTTACTTTCTAATGGAGGGTTCGTCGTGTTTAAATCATCACCATCAACTGCAATATCTGAGTCACTTTGATCCTCTTCGTCGGAATCGGATGAATTTCCATATGCTATAGCCAACAATGCAAGAGCCGTGTTTTCTTTTTCAGTATCTGAAGCTTCCATATAACTTTGATCAGCAATTTGTGTTTGTTGTTCCACAGATTCAACAGGAACATCGTATAAATCATTTCCGGCATTCTGTTTTGTCCATCCTGCATGATTGGACATAGTATGTCACTAGTTTAACCTTGGCCAAGGAAGATTGAAACAGACAACTTATTTACAGAAAACTTTTGGGAGATAAAATTAAAAGTAGATAAGATACAACCAAACTTCTTATTTTCTCATTCACACTGTTAAGAAGTCCCACATCGGACAATATATGGCCTGAACATGTGTTTATAAGTGGGGGCAATCCTCACCCTACAAGCCGGTTTTGTAGGGTTGAATTAGGCCCAACCACATCTTAATATGGTATCAGAGCCTCGTTTAAGATCCAGTGGGCCATCCACCATTTATTTCCACGCTCCAGTTGTCTAGTCCTGGGCGTGAGGGGGTGTGTTAAGAAGTCCCACATCGGACAATATATGGCCTGAACATGTGTTTATAAGTGGGGGCAATCCTCACCCTACAAGCCGGTTTTGTAGGGTTGAATTAGGCCCAACCACATCTTAATACACACCATAAAGGTTTGGAATAATATATGTTGGTTATAGCTGCCCTCTCTCTTTACATAAATAATAACATGGTAAGAAGTCACTAAAATTTTACATTAAAAACCCAAATATACAACTTATCAGCTCAATTGTCTCTGGTTTACAAAAGCGCCCATATAACTCGTACGAGCCTTCTGGGTCCCAATTATGCTACTAGTCATTGGCTAATTTATGTTCCTTCTATCAAGCCTTTTAACAAAAGGAAAGATTAGTTTCTAAGTAAAAGGAAATAAATGAAGATATTACTATCAGGCGTTTTGCACTGCAGTGACAGAGATCCTAGCGTAAGCAAAAGCCACATCGCCCTTCATTTTTTCAAGAAACTCTAGCATTCCACAGTTCCTTCTAGTTGTCAAGCAAAGATGGTTCAGTGGACGACAAATAAGTGAAAAAGTTAAAAAAAGTTCTCTGCTTATATTATTATCAATATATGGGTTTTTAGGGGAGGATTGAAATAATAGAAATGGTTAAGGGTCCTCACCCTTGAGCATTCGCATCAACAAAAGAATATATCGGTATTGGGGGATGCAAATTTACCCGGATGACAGATCTCGGAGAATGGCTTACACCAGTTTTGAAACAAGAATAGTATCAATAGCCTATTAAATTCAGTAAGTCCTTGGCTACGTGTATACGAAAAGGAGATCACGACTTAATTGTTTCCCTCTCCCTTCGGGCCAAGGCAGGGTATCGTGGGCCAAGTGCAATTACTAGCCTACATTCCTCTGTAATTCTATCCTAAATCCGTCCTTAGTCTAATATCTAGGATAAGAACGGTTTCCTATCAACCCAGGAGAAAAACAAAAAATTATTTGTTTCTCACAGGATTGGTAAATTCTGGAAAATGTCTCCCGTTCAACCTACTCCCTACTGCTCAACTCTTGATCTTATAAAGTAGATACAACAAGGGTGTCTTGTAAAAAAAGTGTGGGGTCAAATTAACAATAAAATGTGGAGAATCCCAAAACAGCAGCTTTCCACTAAACTGAACCAAAAACCAAAACCAAATAAATAGAACATGCCTGTATATGTGCTCTGCTTGGGAACGTTTGCATCTTCATAGGCAGCAGTAAACTTATTTCTATTTACTCCAGACCCAACTATCCGATCATTAAAGAAGCTACAATCAGCTGACATAAGGTATCTAGCTGCTGGTTCGTTAGGCTGTACAATTGCAACACAGGAAAAACTTAATATTCCACATGTGAGACATGAGAATAGTCTCTGGTCTGATAACCCATCTCCTTGACTAGTATCTTTTTCAGTGTCTCTTTGCAATGTTTTTGAATTTGAAGTGCATGTATCACCATTTGCACTGAATGAGCAAACTCTGTTCCTTTCACATAAGGTAGCAGATTTTTCTTTTACAGAAGAAAAACCTTTTACTTTTTTGATTCCATGATTCCTGTTGAATACTAGATCGTCTGAAACGAACTTTTTTGAGTAATTTGTTCCCTCAGAATTGCACGCATTGAATGAAAACTCGGTGTTAACCTTTAGTTGTTGAGATCCAACACGTAATTTTGAGTAAACAGAAAAGTCAGAAGAGCTACGAGGAAGGAGTACTACAGAAGATCCTTTGCCGAGTGCATGCAGCAGATCATTATTCTTTAACACGTCCTGTGCAAATAGTTCTTTAATTACGGTTTGTCCTACACCCTTCTTCTTATCTTTAAGTCGAGAACTCCTTGGTCCGACGCTGATGTCTTCAGGGATTCTGTATGGACAAACAGAAGTATAAATAAATGTTAGGTTATATCCAGTATGATTAATCAACATTTTATAAACCTGTGGTATGAAAATGCATAAGTGGATGAAATATTGCTTATAATTGCAGCAACCTACTAAAATGAGTCGAGACCTATGAGGCGCTGACTCCATTACGGACACTGATAGTGATACATACATATTAATTTATTTATTACAATAAAATAAAATAATCATATTATTTATAAAAGGTCTAAATTGAGAATCGAAATATATACAGATGCATCTAAATCGAGCAGTTTATTTATCCATCTGTCATCAAAAAAGCTAAAAATGTAATCAAATTTTAATGTTGTAACTTCTCATTTATCAGCATGGTTTTGATACATCTTTAGACTTGTAGATGTGCCAAAGATGTGTCCTAAGAGTGTATAAGGCGTGTCAAATCAAAGAAAATAAATACATTTTATGTTGTTACACACTTAGTACGAGTGTCATACAGATGTCAGACACCGATCAATGAGTGTTGAAGCAAAGGGAAAAAATTGGGACACTTGTCTAAGTTATCCAACACGTGTCATACGAGTATCATACAACTGTCGGACATCGGGACACACGTAGTTCTAGAGGTGATTGTGCTTCATAGGTCGGGACAAATGAAGAAAGAGACGCCAGTGAGGAAAATCATACCTAGAACACATAGCAAGGCCAAGGTCATAAAGTAACTGGAAATGTGAAACCATGGGAGGATAATTAATTGAAGCCCTCCTAATAGCAGCATCTTTAGCAACTGTCAGCCATTCAGGTGTTGCAATGTTAGCTGCCTCTCCACAATTAAAACCTGTGTGTATCCAAAGGTATAGAAACATTCAACTATAGACAGAATCAATTATCAAAAGTACACCCCACCGCCACAAAGAAAAACAAGAGAAATGCTTTTGCCATTTTGCTGTCTCACCATGATTGAATCCTGTGTGATAGGCTCTTGGAAATGTCACAACAAACTCCCCAGCATTTTGCACTAACCTGATTCAATGCAATTGGGTATTAAACTCGAGATACAGATGCAAATTCTCAATATAAATACAGAGAGAGAAAGAGAGAGTACAAGTATGAAGATATAACATCACCAAAACAGATACAAAAACAAAAAGTGAAACAGAACAGAGACAATAAAGCAAGCCTGTCAAGTCTCCTTGCATATAAGAAAGGTGAACTCCTTGAAACTTCCCTAGTAAGGCACTGAAGAGAAGCCAGAAACAAGTCCCTAGCCTAAAGCAAATCTATAACAGCACAACAGAGCAGCATATTCGGAAGACAACGTAACCAATTAAGTAACCAAACAAATTATCCTCAAGGAAAATAACTAACCCACATTGTAAAAAACAATGCACTTCTAGCAAGACCATGCATTGCAAGTTTACAACAGTACTTCCATATAACTCACTCGAAATTATTTCTCTATAGAACAAAATAACAGCACCACTAAAAACAAAAATTGATAGCACAGAAAAGATCCCAAAATCTAATACCTGCAACATGGAACACCTGCGCGAACGAATACTTCAGGGGACATCACTGTAGTTTTCTCCCCAAGAATAGCAAAAGTAACTAGCAGTAAGAAAACAACAAAACACTCAATCAAGTACAATAGAGCATTAGCATTTAGCTACATAGTACCAACACTTCATATTAGTGAAGTGCTCAGTACTGACACTGATAGTGATACGACGCGTGCAGCTACATTATTTTCTTAATTGCAAAATAGAGCTCCTAATTGTTTTGTCAAAGTTAAACCATGGCTAACAAACAAGGCCTCCAAAAACTTAAGATGGCTCTGGACGCGTGCAATTACGTGCCAGTGCCACCTAGATAGGTGTTTAGAATTAAGCATTTTGATTGAGCAACAAGTTATAAAAGCAAAGATTAACTAACCAAGAGGGTTAATCTCTCCTCCATATCCATGAACTCTAACAACATCCTCAAAAGCAACAGCAGCCTCTCTAGGAACACCATACCAAGTCTTAGAAGCCCCCAAATGAAGATAATTCAAGCTATGCAAATCATGATCCTCCACATGCCAAGCAAACCAACTAAACAACATAGCAACATAAACCATAGGAGAAGTAACACCCGGAATCTCTTCTTTCATAAACTTCAACAAAGACCCATTCGCCCTCGAAACCCCTCTCATATTCCAACCCGTTTCACCCACTGTCAAAAAACCATCTCCCCCAAAACCACAACCACCGTCGTTTACTTCCCCAAACGCAGAACCAGGCATGTCGTTCGCATACTCAACACAAAAAGGCTTATCAGCAGTAGCTTTCCAGTACATAGCTTCAACTTCGAGAGGCGAAAACTGACCAAGCTTCTTCCCTTTTCTGAAGTAACTTTTCTCAAAAGACTTAGCCTTAGCTTCGAATCCACGGAATGAGTAGTGGTTACCACTATGCCAGACCGGCCGTCGAACCGGCTGAGGTCGCCGTGGACAGAATCCGATCTGCTGTTGACGGGTTGTGAACCGGGGTTGAGACCGGTTGAAGTTAGAAACAGCGGTTTTCTTAGGAGAAGGTGAAACCGGTGGAATGATCTTGCAGATTCCATATTTGGATGCTTCTTTTTCGATCTTGAAAATGTAAGCTATTGGATCTTGAAACTCTGCTAGAGTTGGTCGATACTCTGGTGCTACTGGAAGCGATTTTAGCCATGGGAAAACCTCTTCAGAATTAGCCATTGTAGAAGTGATTTTGAAGTTGCTAAAATCAATTATTGAAGTTGCCCTGTTTTTTGTTTCCCAAACAGAGCCTAACAGAGTCTTGAGATTCCATGCTTAGTTTTTTAAGTTTTGGTATATTATCTATTTTGGGACATTTTAAAAAGGTTTTGGATTTAGAATTTGATTTTAATAATGTGGGGATTCTGGTTGTTACTTGTTTGGTTGTTTTGTTTACGATGTTGTTACAGAGAGAGGTGAAAAGGAAAAATGGTGGCAGAGTAGTAGTGACTATGTGTGTGTGAGAGTGAGTGGGGTTTGTTTTTGGAGTTTTAGGACAAAAATGGACGTTGTTTGTGTTGCTATTTACTAAATTGCCATTTTTGTTTTTTGTTTTTTGTTGTTTGTTTAAGAAATATGTAAATTTGTGTGAGTTGGCGTTATGTTATTTGTGGATAATGTATGATATTTATTTGAATGATAATGATTAGAGAGAAAACGGTGGGTGTTAGTTCTTCTGCCGCTTGGTCCGGAATATGTTTATTCTCTTCTTTTTCATATTACGTCTTTGCATGTTCAGTTCGGGTCCTAATTAATACAGTAACAGATTAACAATGTAACACAATAACTACTTTTTAAAGAAGATTAATTACTTCATATCAATAACAGAAAAGAAAATAATTAATCAAATATTTGGGCTCTTGCTGACGAGATCTCACACTAAAAATGATGGCCCACACTATGCAAGGCTCACATCTTTGCGAAAAGCCAGTTACTAAAGTCGACTTGTAGTGATCCCGAATAAGGCCAATACATGTTTAAATGTCATTAGAGTAAGAGTAACTTCCATCAATGTTGTTTACCTTTAGCTCCCCTTCCGCAGGTCTTTGCATAACGTGACGAGAAAATTGATTGTAAGCAAGAGTACATTGCATGTGTTCAACTTGATTGTTCACCTTATGCCAAAGGTCATGTCTCTTGTTAGTATGTTGGGAAAAATCAACGAATTATGATCCTTCCCAAGCAAGTTGAAAAATACTCTAAAGAAAAATAGATGAAATCAAAGGATGAAGTTGAAAAATACTCTAAAGAAAAATAGATGAAATCAAAGGATGAAGTTGAAAAATACTCTAAAGAAAAGTTTTCACGTAAGAGATAAATCAACTCTACAAGCATTTAACTTACCATTCTCTGATTTATATTTAGTCCTCTCTAAAATGAAAGAAAAGATTTTAATAGTCATACTCAAAATTTCAGCAATTGCGAAATTCACATTAAAGAATCGAAAATTTCAAATTTTCTGGATGATATTGAAAATTTCACTATCATACAGAAAGTTCTTTAGAAAAAGTAAGTGGAATTCTGGAAAAGTGGAAATTTCCAAGAGAAACTCATGGAAATTTTAAAATTTTCGATAATTCAAATTTATTTGAAAAATTCTGGAAATTTCAAAATTTCTGGTACATTTTGTTATCTTCTTTCACCAAATTTTTTTGCCGTTTTTTCATATTTTTTTCCCCAGTGAGAACGAGGAGAAAGGACGGATCCATTAGAGGCAGCTTGATCAATAGAGCGAAAGCTCAGGCCAGGGCTGTTAAGACAGAGGCTTCTCAACTACGGGCTAGACGACATGCTTCGACCGGTTCTCATCGGAAAAAGATGGTTGAGCAGACGTAGTTCCGTGCACCCCGATATCGAGCTGCTAGAGTTTCTACTACTATGAAGATATCTGCTCCTGTGGAGGTATCTACTGTCGTTGAGGTATCTATAGTTGTTGCTGATGAGGTACCTCATGTGGAGGTTGTTGTCGAGGAGGTTGCTATTGAGGAGGTTCATGTGTCAGTTGAGCAGGTTCCTGATGTTGCTGAGGTGTCTCTTATACCTCATGTCGATGATGATACTCCTACTGATACAGACGCCACTACTCGTGCTTCACGGAGCTATCTGTTTACACTACCGGTAAAATCTTGATTGTTAAAAAATTGGAGTAAATACACTATCGAAAATTTCACTATTCGGTACATAATGGTAAATTTTGAAATTTCCGAAAAAAAATGTAAATTATTGGAAATTTCATATGAACTACCCGAAATTTTGAACATACCAAAAATTTTAAATATGGTACGTAAATTTCATTCGGAAATATTGTTCTTTTTTTACTAGGGGTATTTATGGTATTATGAAAATATGGGGATGTCTGGTTTAATTTTGGAAGTGGTAAGTTAAATGCTCCAACTGCACCAGATAAATTTCATTCGAGCAAAAAAAAATACCAATAAACAAGAATTTACTCCAAATATTTTATATGATATTTTGCTCTCAGAAAATTTTAACAACATCGTAGTCTAAAGTTGATGTAGGAAAGTTGGTTGCGCTTATCAAAAAAGAAGTCGCACAACAGAAAAGTTTAACAGAATTTGTGCAAGTTAACGTTTGATGTCAGAATGACTATTATTATACCTTATCAGATAGAGAATCAGTTGTCAAGTCCTATACTCGGCTTCGCCCTGATATATGAGCTTTTTAAACCATCCGAGTTTGTTTCATATCCAAAAACAGGATTCTAAAATTTTTTGTTTTATTTCTATTTTGGATTAAAAGCCCAATGGGGTTTCTTTTTTATATTTAAAGACTTTTGGGTGTGGTCGTCAAACTTATATTTTATCCTAATAAAATTCAATAGTTTTCTCTCTTTGGTGGATTCCAGAATTTTATCTAACAGGTTTGTCGCTTGTAAACTTGTGTTTCGTTCTAGGTTTAGCGCTTGTTAATCCTTCGTGATTTTGACTGTGTGAGGTGGCTTTAGAGAAAGTTTTCTTTTGTTTCTTTTTGTAGCTTAATCAACCATGGGAGATCAATCGGTGACCAGAGCAGACCTTAATGGAATTATTGCCACTTTTACCATAGTCCTAACTGTTTTTCCTAAACAGGTGGCGACTTTAACAAATTAGGTGAGCAACACCAACAACAATGAAAAACAATGAAGGGACAAAAAAGGATAATAGGTTAGGGTTCTGTGTTGAGGTAACAATTGTGTTGTTATTGTTGAAAATTCTTGTTTTGAAGAAGAAGAATCTAACGAAAAATTGATAGTTGATCATGAAGATCAATGGTATAACCATGACTATCGAGCAAAAGTTGATATTCCATTGTTCTATGAAACGATGGGAGTGGAGGAGTTTCTGGATTAACAAATCAACATTGGAAAATTCTTTGACATCATATGAGTGTTCCTGAGAACAAGCAATCTAAGATGGTGGTGATCAGGATGAAGAGTATTGTTGTTATCTGGTGGGATAAGCTTGTTGTTTAAAGGCGTCGTCAAAGGAAATGGGCTAGTCAGAACTAGGTGAAGAATTAAATAATTGATGCTGGAGTAATTTTGACCGGAGGATTATAAGCGAATTCTTTATAAGATATATATCGAGTGTGTCCAACGAAAGAGAATTATGTGTGACAGAATACACAACTGATTTCTTGCATTTTTCAGAGCGTAATGAATTGGGAGCGTTAGAGAGCTAGAAGGTGGCTCGATACATCATTGGCTTAAAGGGATCCTTGCAAGAAAAGATGAATTTACAATCTGTATGGACTGTGGCTGAGGCATCTAGTTAAGGAAGAATTTATGGAGAAATCCCCTCAAAATTTCTCATCTTTTAAAAGGTATTTGCCCCCAAAATAACTTTTAATCAGTGGGTGACAAAGAAAAGAGTGCAACAACCATATATTCCAACTCTGAAAATAAGGGGGCTAGCAGCTATAGCGGTGTGCGGTAGAGTAAAGCACCAATCCAAAAGCAGAATAATCCATGTGCTAAACCCACTAGAGACACTTGTTATCGTTGTAATGGAATGGAGTCATGGAAAAAATGTTTGCCCAACAAGGAAAGTTGATGATGCTACGGAAGAAAGGGAAGATGAGGAGGAAAGAGAAGGACATGTAGTTGAGAACGATGAATATAAATATGTTAAGTTTGTAGAGGAATAATATGATGAATGAGTAAATTTTGTGTTGTAGAGAACTTTACTAACATTCAAAGACGAAGGGCAGCACGAGAATTGTTTAAAACACATGGTTCTATCAAGAACGATGTGTGTAATCTGATTATGGATAATGACAACACGGAGAATCTAGTGTCATAGAAATTGATAGATTATTTGAAGTTGTCCTTAAAACCCATTGAAAATCCATACACCCTTGATTGGGTAAGCAAGGACTCCCAAGTTCGAGTAACACTAGCCTGAAGGAGAGATATTATTCGCCACACTCGAGGAGGGACGTTAGTACTATATTCATGAGGTGTTATACTTGTCACATTTCTAAATCTCAGTCTCAAAATACTGGTATTTATATGCCTTTACCTATTTTTGATGATATTTGGCAAGATTTAGTCATGGATTTTGTGTTGGGATTGTCGCGTATGAAGCAAGGGCATAGATTCTATGTTCGTTGTAGTAGATAGATTCTCCAAGATGACACACATCGTTGCTTGTAAGAAAATCGTCGATGCGTTCAACATAGCAAAACTATTTTTATGGAGGTTGAGTGTCTTTATGAGGTTCCTACGTCAATCACTTCATACAAGAATACCAAATTTCTCAATCATTTCTGTATTACTCTTTGGAGATTGTTTGGCATAATGTTGGATAGGAGTTCTACAGCTCATCCTGAAACAGATGGATAAACTTGGATATCCAACAGAACTTTGGGGAATATGATTTGGAATGTTTGTGGGAACAAGTCGAAATAGTGGGATTTAGTTTTTCCTCGGGTCAAATTTGCTTACAATAGTGTTGTGCACTCATCTACGAGGAAATCACTTTTTTCTCTGATTTATACTTTTGTTCCTAAGCATGTGGTTGAGTTGGTTAAGGTTCCTAAGGCTCCTGGAGTTAGTGTGGTTGCTGAGAATATGGATGAAGATATCGTAGATGTTAAAGAATTTATCAAAGTTAAGTTAGAGGTCATTTGGCATAAGAATAAGGTGGTTTCTGATAAACGCATGAGAGTTAGAGTTTTTA